TAAATTAATTTACTTACTGTGCCAGTTTCAAGTTTATACTTTTCCATTCTTACTCAATATTAAAATATGAAAAATACATACAAATTTGAATATGAATTTGAATTTGAGTATGGCAATTACAATATGAAAAGAGTGAAGTACATACAAATTTGAATAAAAAAAATTGACCTTTCCTACCTTTAATCCTTTAACTTTAACCAAAAGATCACTGAACTATAAACAGAGTATTTTAAAATCTTAGAGTAAATATAATCTAAATATGTATTAGCTGTGACTTTATGATCATAACTTCGCAACTTAATTGTGTGACTGTTCAAGATCGTTTAGTATAACTGGTACGTTCTCGGTAATAAGACACCTGTTCATTAGAGTTCATTATCGTTCACAAAGTCCAAGTTATTTGCACCAGGCAGCCGAAAGGACGCTAAATAAGCACCTAAGCAATAAGATGTTTACAAAATGTGTCACGTCTCAAACGGATTCTAAAGTAACAAACTGGTGGACAAGCAAATACTCGACGCAGAAGAATAAAAAATAAAAATATTTTATCATAGATTGTATATATGCACTTAATGCTACCTTGAGTGAACTTTTTTGTTTTTGTGAAGATTTAAAAGTGCTGTTCAAATATATGTACTAAATTTATACCTAGTCAAACTCCAGAATAATCAAGGAAAAAATCAAAAGATACTAAATATTACAAATCATTAGCATTAAAGGATTCTGGAGATCTAAATCAGAAAACAACGGAATGACGAGAAATCGTTTATAAAAAAAGTTTTGATTTTTTTTTATCACAGGTGATATAATCTGTCACAAATAGTAAGACAATAATAACGTCACTGTTTGCATAACTATAACTATTGCATTACCTAAATAATAATTTTAGAAATAGGTGTAGTTAAGGGAAACGGAGAAATTCCGGGTATTTATTTTGCTATTGAATACGGCATTCCCTAGAGTGCTGGAAGTAGATAGAATTAACTATCGAGTCTAAATCCCGAGCTATGACCATTATACGAACTCAAAGATGCTGTAGCGTTTTGATCGTACAATCTTGCAAATAAAATAATTAAAATCAGTGAAATTAGCAGAACGATATTTTAACCAACGCGTTGTGAAAAGATAAGTGGCGATCGAATTGCTTTTTCTTTTTACCTGACTACGGCTAAGCGAAAAGAAGGGTTATGATTTTTCATCGCTTCGCTTATAACTTTGAAACTACTCATCGTAACTAAAAATATGAGATATCATTAAAAGCGTCTTAGTTTTCCGGGTGCCAGCTAGAGAGCATAAAGTAAGAATCTAAAACATATTTAATCATTAGTGTAGGGTAGTGTAGTGTAGTTTGCTTGCGATTTCGCTTAAATAATATATGTATTTTGCTAAACCAAACTTAGGTCAAAGCTGAAAATCCGCAGCTTGCTTTCCAAGAAAACATATTGCCGAGATTTTCCCTTTTTGCATCGTTACGACATACATGTGGCCCTGTGTGTGTTTTAATGGATTGTTTAATTTTGCATTTCTTTTTATTTTTATAATTTAATTATTTCAATGTATATTTAGCATGTTTTATTGTGATTGATGCAAATAAAATTATCCTTCCTTCAGTCATAAATACACCCGAAAATTAATTAAATAAAAAAATAAATTCAAAAACTAAAACCCTACTATACTCGAGTCACTCGAAAACTCTAGTATGATTCGAGTGTGTGTGCTAGAATGATTCGAGTCAAAAATGTCACTGAAGTCGCATCACTAACTAAACATAACAAACAAATTGTTGTAGCATACGACTAGCCTGTCCTTTGGTTATTGATATTATAATATAGCTATCGCTATAAAATAAATTTCTTGTTTGAAACTCTTTAGAGCGTGATTCAACTGTAGTCGGGTTTTAATTAATGAACTTGCTTTTTTCCAATGTCATCATGGAGGTAAGGTTTCAGATATATGGCTTTGCAACCTCTTTTAAACCTCGTATCACGCACAACACGGAATGGCAGACACTCGAAAGCACACGAGATGCTTCTATAATAGTGACTTCTTACGGAAAACCGGAGTTGCATCGACAATACAAAGTTAAACAAAAAATAAAATGGATATCTAAGAAGTTCAGTCAGTGAAGGTTCAGAACAAACTTTTGTAACCCGAAATTAACCAGATTAGTATATACTAATATCTTATCTCCTTATAATTACAAAAGATTTTAAAGTTTCTTTCATGAATTAGTGGACACTGTATACGAAAAAAGTCAAGGATGGATCTTTATTAATATTTCGTTTTTCTTAAGTTGCTGTAAACAAATTTTCATTATAAAATGTTTGTACTAATTTCGGTAAAAATGAATTGCATTTTTATTATGTTCAGGAATTTTAACCCGACGACCCATGTCAAGTGTCTCGGGGGTATGTTTAGATTAAAGATTACTTCACGTAGAATATGAATTCTTGCAGGCTATTTTTATTAAATGTCACCGTCTAATCTGGATAATCTATATAAAAGGAGATGTCCTGACCTACTAACTGATAGAAACGCACGGCCTAAACCACTGGTCTTAGAGATTTGAAATTTTTAGGGTTTGTTTTTCTTATTTCGTACAGGTGTAATAAGAACGTATTTTTGGAAATTTCAACTTAAAGGGGGTTAAAGAGGGTTAAAGCGTTTGATGAAACTTTTTTGTTTTATAAGACCTATACCGATAAAAATTTACATTTAATTAGCTGACCTTGACCTTGAGAAAGTAATAGGTTTACATTTTATCCCGAAATACAGAACATAAAGGGGTGAAATGGAATTGAAAGTTTTCATAGGAAATCAAGTTGTTTCCATAGCAACCATTGTTAACTTGTTAATTTTCATTGAAAAAAATTTTCTAATACTATTTATAAAGATTTTCTTGTATTGTGAAAAAAACATGGTATTCGAGTACATAATATTGATAACAAAAATAGCATTTTAAATAAATATTTTTGAAAATCTTCAAGTACAAATCATTTCTATATGAAATCAATTCGAAAGAAAACACAAACTATATATTTTGTACTATACTAAATGGCATTAAGTATACTTCTACATCGCACTATTCTGGTCAAAGTTGAGTTTTCAAACAAAATTTAGTAAGAATTTTAAGCTTTGCTAAAGTTTTCTATACTGATGAGTAGCGTAGTGGATAAGCGTCGCGACCGATCGTTCTTGTTAAGCAACTTTCGCAAGGGTCGGTCACGGAATGGGTAACCAAAAGATTATTATCTCGAGCTACTCCGTGATTCAGAAGGTACGTTGGTCTCGGCTGCGTTTGCAGTCTTGAATGTCCTCCAATCCTGATTGGGCCAGCGTGGAGGGTCATGGTCTATGATGATAGTGATATTAGATAGCGTTTTATTCTTAACTAATCTGCGTTATCGTTTTGATTAAGTTTTGTGTGAACATTAGATTTGTATTTTTCTTTCCATCTGTATTTTAAATTTAATACATAAATAGCTTTAAAATTATTACAGATAAAGTAAAATGGGCATTAGTCGGTTAATTACATGTATATCTGTTGCTGTACCTTAAATAAATGAATACATATAGCTTTTTGTCTGTGGAATTAAACATCAAAGCAATTTTATTGGAATATCGCGGATATTTTATTATTAATAAAATTATTAATTGTGTTTCGTATCGTGATCTTTGACAGTTAACCAGTTCTCTGGGCTTTATACAGCCTCACTGTAGAAGGACGTTGTGATGGTTACGCGGCCAATCAAAGTTTAGCTGCGCATTAGAATGGCGTTATTCTATCATAGGGCTAGCCGCCTAATTGGATGCATCTTTTGCCCATTTGGCTACGACATATTCATTATATATTAATAATTAAAATTTTGAATTTTAATTTTAACAATTGTCAGCTTAAAAGTCGACCAAGTTAAAGTGATTTATATTGTTCTTAGCATATTTATTTCGGTAACTGTCTGGTAATCTCTTATGTAATAAGCGACAAGGAGAATCGTTTAATTATTCCATAATAATATTATACATACGAAAGTAGATCTGCGTATATGTCAGCTACGCTCTCACGCCTAACCCACTAAACAGAGTGGACTGGAGATAAGACGTAGGTGCTTTTTATTGTGATAAAAGGGTTGAAATAACCATTCATCATTGCCAAAGTATATATATATATATAAAGATAAAATCATGACACTTTATTTCAGGTATTTTATACAATATAATGTATAAATATTCGTTATTAAATTCAAAGTAACTGTACAACGCGGAAAAAGCCGCGTGCAAAAGCTAGTATTTTATAAATACTGATAACAATAATTTATTATGACCTTTGTTCATACAGAAACTTTAAAATAAGAATATAATACATGAAAGATAGACTGGTAACAGACTGACGGATGGCAGAGTCTTAGTAGTAGGGTCCCGTTAAACCCCTTGGGTTCGGAACCCTGAAAATTAAAGATAATACTCAGAAAATTAGTAAGTGAATATACACATGTGTTTACTTGTTTTAAAGACAACGTTTGATGTTCACAGCACAATTATCTAACTGAAACGGTGCCAACATCCCAACAATTAATTAATGGATTGATGGATTAAAAATGCCAAAAGGATTTCTCTAAAAATAGGTGCTATTTGAACTTAACAAATCAAATTAATACAAAAATAATACCATAAACTTCTGAGAGTTAAAGGAACTAATATTATATTATAAACAAAAACATACATAATATATAGCGGTTTTTGTATAAGAATCATTTAATTGTTTTTAAATATTGTGTACTTTTATGGCTTATAGGTAACAAAATTCCTTCGCATTCATTAACAGTGTTAGTTCTTATTATGTGGGTATACTTTTTATATAAAAACCATGTTTTATTAGTATTAGAAGTATTGAATTTCTTTTAGATTTCTAATACGTCCTTGATGTTTAACAAAGTTATCAACTATAAACGTAAACGTAACAAAATATTACATCTAGGTTAGAACTATGTAAACAAATGCACCTGCACTCGGAGATCAGCTTATCTGGTTACTAACACATTCACTGCATGCACTTCTCCTAGTACCGATAAATTGTATTTTATCTTTTAAATTGTTTTTATTTGAAGTTTATCGTGTATATTCACGCGAAGTGCCGGTTCGTCGTGAAGCGCGACACGCTTTCCCCTTAACGCACAATATGTAACTGAATGTCTCTCTGTGCCGGAGCTGTTATTATGCGCCCACTAACAACACGTGGGCCAGAACCGTCGTGAAGTTACCGGCACTGCTTATCGGTGCATCGACAGTAAAAGCTCATGATTCATCAGGGATTAGGTTTTGCGTGATATCATCGAATTATGCGCATAAGCAAATATTGCGCTACTTGTGCTGTGATATATAAAGTGCACTAGCTGCATCATAGTTCCTTTTACCTATTCCTGCCTTTGTATACCTTTTAATGTAGTAGAGAATGTAGTGTAGAATTCATGTGATGTTAATAAGTAAGGATTTTGGCAATTTTTTTTTTGTCTGTCCGTCGTGTAAATTATTGAAGAATAATATTGTATACAGAGTGTTTTTCTATTTTTGCGTAACTAATTAATTACACTGATACGTTACATAGTAGAGACTTAGCGAGCCCCCACTCCTCAAATTAAATGTCTATTATCTAAGCCTTTTCTTGTTAAAGTGAAGAAAAAAAAATGCTTCTAATATTTTTCTATTATCTATCTTACTGACAGACTACAAAGAATTTCTTTTTATTTACACAGGCATCACCAGAAGAAGCTAAGTCGTCTGAAAATTATTTACAGCAAAATAATGCTGGACTGAATGATGCAATGATTCTAAAATATACGGCTTTTTTGTCTGTTATTGACTATAAAAATACATTTAACTGTCATTTTTATGATAAGTCTTTTGTTGGGCTTAGTATAAATCGTAAGTATACGAGTATATAAACCGTTTTAGAAATCAGGAAGAAGGATACTATAAAAATAAAGTACAACGGCAAAAGAAGGTTCATCATCAAAAATAATAAAAAAAACACCGACTTAATTCGTAAGACTGTAAACAGCATGATATATCTTTCTGAATATGTATTCAAAGCAGCAAAGGAGCAATTTAAGAAAAAAATGGATACTAAAAATAATTAATGAATATTTTGCAGCTAATAAATGGCATCGTAAAAAGTGAAAAGTAGCAGCTTTAAAATCGGTGGACAGCTTTTTTTAATAATAAAATTGGCATGTAATTTTGATAGCGTTACCATCTGACATTTGAATGATACAATTTTTTTTAAACTGTAACGAAGTAATAATAATAAAACCTTTCCGTTATATGTTTATGCCACAGTGAATAAGTGTATAAAGAAATTTACAAGCCATGGCCGTACAAAGTAGACAGGATGTGATCTGTATGCTGAAATGTACGTAACTCGCAATATTTACCTTCAGTAAACAATATGCAGGGTATTACTTGGAAATGAGACAATCCTTACTTACATAACTCACTCACTGTATGAATATTGATTATTTCACATCACAAATATTTCAATAGACATTTTGACATGTCATTTGTTAATATATTAATGAGACACACTAGAAAAATCTATAACATTTCCTTTTTAAAATCATTTTTTTCGATAATATTCTAGAATGTTGTAGAACATTCTAGGTACTTCTGGTGTAGGGTATATAAAGCCGCGCTCGCGATTTGTTTAGTCAGTTTGAAGAAAAATGGACGAGCGACAAGTTCGAACACTATACTTATACGAGTACTTGTTAGGCCACAGTGCGCGGGCTGCGGCTGACAATATCAACAATGCATTAGGCGCTGGAAGTACAAGCCATGCGACGGTGTCCCGATGGTTTGACCGTTTTAAATCAGGAGACAGGAGCCTTGAAAGTCAGCCACGCTCAGGGCGACCACCCGCAGTGAATGATGACGATTTGCGCCGCGAACTGCAGTTGAATCCGGATGCTACCACTCGTGAATTAGCGGAAGCACTTAAATGCAGTCACCACGCCGTGGAACACCATCTGCATGAGCTTGGTTATCGAAAAGTTTTGGCTCGGTGGGTACCGCACATCCTTACAGACGCCAGTCGTGCAGTCCGTGTCGCTATCTGTCAGTCACTTTTGCTGCGACCCCGACGTATAGAGTTTTTGTCAGATCTGGTTACTGGAGATGAATCATGGATTTATTACGAGAACGATACACGTCGTGCTTTTTGGCTGCCTCGAGAAGAAACGCCACCAACTCAACCGAAGCCGAGTCAAAAGAACCGCCGAAAAATTCTGCTTTGCTGTTTCTGGGATGCGCAAGGCATACTGTTTTATGAGCTATTACACAATGAAACTATAAACGCTGACAAATATTCAACCCAGCTTACCAAATTATCTGCCGCTATCAAGAAAAAACGACGAAGACGAGTCAATGTAGTTTTACTGCACGATAACGCTCGTCCTCACGTCGCATCTGTGGTTCGCCGGCAGTTGGAGAACTTGGGCTGGGAGACGATACCCCACCCACCTTATTCCCCAGGCCTCGCCCCATCAGACTATCATTTGTGTAGAGCCCTGAAACAGCATTTGCGGGGTAAACAATTTAATGATTTCTCTGACGTAGAGGCGGAGTTGAACAACTTTTTCGAGGCACAGCCATCAGAGTTCTGGGCAAAAGGCATCCAAACTTTGCCGGATCGTTGGCAAGAAGTCTTAGATACTAATGGTAATTACATCATTGACTAAACTTTTTTTATTGTAATAATAATAAAAAAGTAAAAACTTAAACCAAGTGTCTCATTAACTAATAATAAAGCTGAAGAGTTTGTTTGTGTGGTTGAACTCTATAATCTTAGAAAGTACTCGATCGAATTGAATTATTGTTATTATGCTGAATAGTCCACTTAAAGAGGAAGGCTAATAATATAGGATATGACTTATAAAAGTGGAACAGCAATGAAAAATGTTATAAAAACGGGAGAATATTTCACTTTTTAATGCATATGTTAAGTTGGTTAAGAACACGAAAATGTGACATTTAAAACGGTATTTTGTTTTGTTTGTAGTCTTTATTTTTTTCGATTTTTATAAAACAAAGTAGTTTTCGTTTTCAAATTTGCACTTTTTCCAATGACATAATTTATTGGGGGACTATTAATAGGGCGAAGAAATTTAATGTTACGTTTTGAAAGGGGATTTTGATTTTTGTTATGTTTGTAGTCTTTATTTTTTTCCGATTTATATCAAACAAAGTAATAAAAAAAATATTATCTTCCTATAGCGTGGAGTATCGTTGAATAGCTCTTTCTTAATTATTAGGGGTATGTAATGGTTATGGTTTTTTATATAGTTAACCGTAACTTATTAAGCTTCAAAGTGCAAATTTTCGTTACAGTCAAATGCCTCCCCCCCCCTCCCTACCAACTAAACGGTTGTTGTTATAAACTCAAATGTTACAGCAGTAGTATTCATATATAACGAATTTAATATGAAAACTATCACACTAAAGCTGGCTTTACTTCGTCCTGTCAAAAAGATTTGTAATGTGGCAGTTTTTTTGCCTACGTATTTAAAAAAATTCTCCTGAACAGAACCGTCACCCTGGTGATAGGGCGTTGTGAATAAAAAATAATTAAATAAAACATATATAAGGATTTAAAAGTAAGTAATCGCTTTATTGTTAATCATGTGAATCATAATTATTATTGCAATGTATTAATAGTAATAGTATTAAATATAGAAAAAAGAGATTTTTATGATCATAAAAACACATTACACACAACAGCATTATAAAAGTAAACTATTCGAATTAAAAAAATATATAAACATTCTCAAGGAAAAATGCTGGAAGAATCCATCTACCTGTACCCCGGAATGGGACTCGAACCCATTCGCGATCCAGGGACTGCTCTAACCAATGAGCTATCTAGGACCCAACAGCTTTGCTACTACAGAGCGTATTTTCATCAATGTTCCGGCAATACATGTAATGACGTGGAAACTGATGCATTTTATCTCGCGTGCCGAAACTAATACAAAAGAAACGCGAGTTTCGGAACGCGACATTAAACTCCTCCAACTATGTATTCTGTGCTCCAACGCACACACGCACATTGTTTTGATAGATATGATCTTTGACGTTAGGAACACACCTACATTGCTTAGACAACAGTGAGTGCTTGTAATTTAATATGAACTTTATACCATAGCAATAAAGCTCAAATTGACTACGTTTTAGTTACAAATCATTTGTATGGGAAAAAGAAAAGAGCTATTTTTAGGGTTTTTCCAGCAATAATTCTAATTTTTCTCGCCGTAAAAACCATCCTTGAACTTCAACGAACATTTTAAAAAAAGATTTGGCCAAATTGGTCGAGGCGTTGTTGAGTTATGCGCTTACCAACACATTTTGCGATTCATTTTTATATATATAGTAATAGAGTATTACGTATGACAAAATAATATATGGGTGAGCAAAAAATGTACTAAACTGCCGATAATTATAAATGACTAAAAAATCAAAAAATAGTTTTGGTTGAAAACAGTTTTATCTAAAATAGCAATTAAAATTCCAAGTATCAGAGTTAAATAATAAATTGGGCAAAAAACATACACTGAGCGGATGAAACTATATTCGATCGATACCTACAAATGAAGATATGGCAGAATATCCGTTGGCAAAAAATTTAATTTGGCACCACGCACAGAATTTTCGGAGACTTCATCTCTGAAAATTCCGAATTGAGAAAGCAAGAACAAGCTGATCGTCAAGTTGCAATGAGAATCAGGCGTAGAATCTTGCACAAACAAAGCATCAGGCTGCTTAAACCCTTAAAATAAAAGTCTTTATCCGAAAGTTCAGAATAAACAAAGTAGTCAAATATTTAGATCGAAGTTAAATTACGACGTGATTATTAAACAATTTCAAGTCAATAGTCCTTTCATTGAAGTAATAGTCCTAATAATAATAATAGTCCTAATAAATAATAAAAAATAATATAAATAAAAGGATAATAGTCCTTTTATTGAAGTTGTTCGAAGACAAGACTTGTTTGTATATTTTGCAAGTGTCGATTCTTCTGCACACTAAAATGGAAAGAAGAGCAACTGGCCTTTTCTATGAAGGCATGCGCGTTATCTACAGAAACACCGGTAGATTTTCATTTGGTTCCGTCTAAAGGGCGGGACTATGCCTACTGGCAGATTTTTAATTAAGAGTAGCTTAAGACTCTAGTGTAGTAGGTCAGTGTGCAGTACCCTTGAACCACGTGGGC